GACTGTGTCGGGTGTGCCACCCTAAAAACTGCACTGCCCCTGAGCAGCCAGCAAGCTGGCTACGGGCCTAAGTAGGAGATTGGGGCGAGGGGTATTGCCACCACTACCGCCCCACCCGTAAGTTTTACCTAGACCAGGTAAACAATCAACAGGCATCTTAGCATCCGTGTTGGATTATGAGAGGGGGTTAACTCCTCAAACAACTACAGATCCGCACGCGACTTAGAGAATTGCTATTGGCTATTACGAGTGTGTCGTCATACTGTTCTATTAATAAATATAAATGTGATGACGATATTATGCTTGAAAGAACAGACTGTTTATCTTATATACATATGTATGTAGCGTATAAACACAGAGACTACTTATATACTGTAGACGGTGTAAACAACGACTATTGTCGGTTGTGAAGCTTCAGTTCAAACGGATTAGCGGCAGCAAGCCGTATATTAAAAATGCGTCAAACGTCGCCATTCAGAAAGGTATGTAATATTATACATATTAATAAACCATGATCTGATTTTAATTCTGTATTGCCATGCTCTTTTATCTTTCTTATCATAGTGTGCTTTTCGTATTAATAAAATGAAAAACGGTACCAAGTTAACTTTGTGGTCAACTGCCGTCATGAATCGTGTAGATGTTTGTCAGGGCAGCAACAGGATTAACGCTAATATATAACGATGCTTAACAATGATAACTTGATCCATGATAATAACTGTAAGAACGATTGTCATAGTGTACCTTTGTAGATATTTTAATCATTATTCAGTTTTGGTTAAAAGAATTCATGTGACCAGTGTCCGGGTTGATTTTTTGATAATTTTTTCAAATCTCTTAACCGTTTCAGTTTATACTAACGATAACGTGGCGTTATAAAGTGTAACGGTAAATACACGTTCTTGCTCTGTCCATAGTGTGTAACCATAGTTAGATGTTCTTGCTATGTTCATATCACCCCCTGTATCGGAATGTCTGTTTCATATCTATCATTTAAATTTACTATCAATTATTATTATATCATTACTTTAATCCTTGAGAGAGAGAGAGAGAGAGAGAGAGAGAGAGAGCTTTAACAAAGTAGGGGATTTCGGGACTAACATGGTTCAGTTCTATTTTAATAATTCGCTGGCGCGTAGAGATGTTTAGCAATGGAAGGAAACCGGAGGACCCGGAGTAAACCCACGATGTTGAACGGGCGACCCTACTCTTTGTCAAATACCACATCACTTCACTCAATGACAGACCATGTAATGTAACGCGTTTATTAACTATTTGCCTTTGAAGAAGGGGCCAGTTGAATTGAGTGTGTTCGAGTGCGTGTATGTGTCGGTGTCGTCTGTCCGTGGCCGTGTCTGTCCTTTGACAGTGTATTTCCTACATATTTAATTAACGGTCAACATACACACGTACACACCGTGCCCCCATATGGGCATATTATTATATAGTTCAAACTAAGGAGTGTTCACAAATTCATTTTATTGTTTTGTTGTTTTATGTATCCACTTCGATTTTTGAATTAGAAAAAGAAATAGAAATAGAAATTTCTTTAAACGTAGTGTCCTGGGCCCTGTTTCTCGAAATCTTAACTAAAGATAAAATCCAAATTTTAGTAGATACTTCGGCTAAGCACTAAAATCAATCTAATATTATCCAATCACATTACTAAAATTTGGATTTTATCTTAGTTAAAATTTCGTGAAACAGTCCCCTGAATTAAAATATTAACCAAACAGTGGATCATGGGTCAGTCAAAAAGCACCAAATTTAACCTTTACATGGTATTGGGGTCATATAAGTGTAATCGTTGAGAATTATCATATGTTTTATCAGTTTTACTTATTATAGTTGACCATGATATGACTCGGCAACAATTTGGTAAAATCAACCATTTATATTGTTCTATGGATCAATGAAATGCGAACCTCCTTTTACGAATGTGCGCACACATAAGCTCGGAGAAGAAATTTTGAACGGGGAAACATACCAAGGTATTTTTTAGTTAGCCTGTTCATTGTTACAGTGCCCCATTATCATTTTCTGGCGGTTTTGGCAAGGCCGCTTTTGGTATGCCCAACATAAGATATAGAACTTGGACACAATTGCGATTCTGAAGTCTGTTGATGGAAAGTGGGACGTGTATGAAACAAACGCCTCTTGTGTACCTCAATAAAGCTCATCGAAAATATAGTCAAAGCGATGTTAAGGAGGTCTTCGATTTCTACATTTGCAAAGGATGTAGAAAGCGAATACCCATTAATGAGGCCCCCTTTAAGATTATAAAATTTAAGTTTCGTCTTACAATATCACATGAATATTACAAATTAAACACTTTTATAAGGCATGGACATTATTGTATTTTGTCTCTGGTGTTAATCCCAAACACGGAAATAAAAAAATATCACCCACTGGGCTAATGAAGACGGACATACGCCATACAGAGTGCTATAAGGACAGTTTTGCGATCTGTCAAGGTTCGTTTACGTGCACGCTAACGTGTACAAGGGACCTCTGTTTTCTGTCCAATCCGAACGACTACACGTTGCCCCTTACCACTTTACCAAACCATTCGTCCTGCACCACTAAGAAGGGGGAAGCACGCCGAAAAATTCCTATGATCTTTCTCAACCAACGGCAACACCGGGATTGAACAATGGATCCCAGGGATAGTGAGCCAACGTCTTACTCACTGAGTCACCCAGGGCTTCTTCCAAACACAGACATGAGATAGAAAACGAAGACGCTGGATATATTCCCTTACGTGTCCCTTACGTGTCGTCAAAGATCACAAGCAGACGTAGAAAAGGAAGACACTTCATATCTTTGCTAATTAGCAAGTCATAATTTTAAAATAAATTTTCTAAACATGTTTTGGTGTACGGATGGGATATTGATTGATTAAAAAACGGGAGTCTCCGTTTTTGGAGGCTTTGTTTTATTCTCCCACCCCCTCGAAAAATGAACAAAAATGCATAGTTCAGTAATGTACTCGTGAGTAATGTTTTGAATTTGACGTATTTTTGTTATGACATCTCTTATATGATTTGTTTGGTATTATTGATTAATTGTTCTGTGGAACGAATAATGTTTATTGTTTTGTTTGACAAATGCATTTTGATTTAAAGTGACATCCTCTGACAACATGTAAAATCCATTTTACTGAATATGCCTGTCTTTATTAGCCCAGTTGGTGCAGAAACGTAGGACGTCCCATTTCATTCACTCATTAGAGAGAGGGAGAGAGAGAGAGGGAGATGCGGTTTGACGTCCTGGCGAGTAACATATGGTTCAATTTTATTTGTCATGCGACCCTACTTCTTGTCACGTATAACCGGGGAATCGAAATCACGCCAAATTACCCAATGACAGACCCTATGCTACAACGCGTACACGCTAACCATTCGGTCATCCAACCCCTAACTCATTATAGCACTAAACAGTTACTAAACACTCTAACTTGTAGTGGGTGGGGAGTGTGTATGTGTGACCCTTTTATAAAGATTATTAATAAAGTAACGAAAGTCAAGGGTGCCCCTTTAACACAAAATATTAATATGTACCTATATATATGTCCTATATATAAATCAACGGATTTGGCAACTACCTTTTCAATGGGCCTATAATAACCAAACATGATAGAGTAGGTACACTTAGTACTGTGTTTCTGAATGTCAACACCCCATACACTGAAAACATTTTAGCGCATATTGATAATTGTTGTTTAGATTAATTTTCTTGTTTTTGTGACATTTATGAATGTCAACACCCCATACACTGAAAACATTTTAGCGCATATTGATAATTGTTGTTTAGACTAATTTTTCTTGTTTTTGTGACATTTATGTGACTTTGGTTGATTGCGCCTTATTTTAATTTTAGTCATGTAGTACTAACTGACAAAAGCTATTTTGTACACGTAAACGCTGAAGATGGGAAAACACCGCGATTCAACTTCTAATAATATTGCTTTATATTCAAAGTGTTCCAGAATACATATAATGATATTCATACATCTACTTCTCTGGGACATCCTGGATTAACACTCACTTCCTGTTGCCTCAAGGTGTAACTATAACCACGTCATGAAATATAAAAAAAATCATTCATGTTTAATGAGAGCAACTTAGTAGGGCAAATCTTGATTTTCTTTTCGTTTAAATATGTCGCATTGATTAGTTATAGACATATGTAATGGAACTTGAATTTAATTTAAAAAATAGACAAAGAATTGAAATGGGGTTTAACGTCCTACAGTTTTGTTCCGACCGGGTTAAAGACAATGTGCGTTTTTCGCGTTAAACGTCAAATGAGAAGTGGCTTAAGTATGTTCTCAACACTATTTATTGGTTATATACAATGCTTAGGTGTAGTTAAAAACCTGCCACGGTGGCTAAGTGAGTAAGACGCTTGCTCACTAGCCTCGAGGTCGCGGGTTCGCTCCCGGTGTTGGCCGAGAAAGTTCATCGGGATTTTCTGGTGTGGTTTCCTCTTGTCAGTGCAGGATAGGGGACCCGACAAGGGCAACTGTCTAGTCGTTTGGATGGCACGAAAAAGTACACATTGGCGTGCACGTAAAAGACACCATGGCTGTTGGAATTCGATATAAGAGTAGGAAAATTTCCCTCATAGCACACTGTATTACGTATGCCCGTCTTCATTAGCCAAGTCGGCGCAGAACAGTAAGACGTTAAACCCCCATTTCATTTCATTTCATTTTATTTCCAATTATTATATATTATCCCGTAAAGTACATAATTTAGACAATCCTCACCTGGAGGGGGTTTGAGGTGTGGTCTAACGCGTGCACTTTAGATCACAAGGTCTGGCACTGAGTCAAGTCGCGTGGTTTCGATCGTAAGCTGGTGTTCGTATACGTGACAAATAGTAGGGTTGCCGGCCCAATTTCTTTGGGTTTTTCATTATGGTCTGCAGTATTTATACACACTTGTGTAAACGGCTGTAATTTATTTTAATTCTTTAACAATTACTATATATTTCAGACAATGGCTTTGGTTAATGAAGATGGTGGTATATCAAATAGACAACTGGGAATAATTGGCACGGGAAACTTTGCTCGTGCTCTAGCTAAACGATGTATACTCTCTGGCTATACAGTTATAATTGGAAGCAGACGACCAAGTCAACGACAATTATCGGCTATTGATGAGTGTTTGTGCGACGTGGAATTGACGACAATTGCCGATTGCATAAAGAAAAACGATCTGATAATTCTAGCAATTCACGCTGAAAGTTACAAAGATACACTGACCTCGCTCGCGTCCATGTTTTCTGGAAAGGTGGTGATTGATGTGTCTAATAGAGAGGTACCGTCAAGAACACAATCCAATGCGGAATACCTGTCGACTATTTTACCCCACGCCCAGATTGTAAAATGCTTCAACGTCATTTCCGCTTATGTTATGGACACCGAAATCGCCGGTGGGAGTCGCCGAGTGTTTGTCGCGTCTGATAACCTGACAGCACGAGAACAAACAAGTAATCTGGCAAGAGATCTGGGGTTTGTACCAGTAGATCTCGGCGTTCTCACGTCTTCGAGAAAAATCGAAAACTTTGTGTTGAATTTGTTCCCTGGGTGGAAAGTTCCTCTTTTCCTAACATTTGGTATTTTTAATTTGTGGTGTTTGTATATCGTTTATATTTACTTCGTGGTAAAAACTGCGTTTCGCTGGGATCAACTATTCGTTAAGGTTCTGAATAAACCACTGTGCATGACCGCCATTACAATATTAGCACTTACTTTTCTACCTGGAAACATTGCAGGCTTTATACAACTGTACAACGGTACGAAACACAAACGCTTTCCAAAATGGATAGACAACTGGCTTAAAGTTAGAAAACAGTTTGGAATCATTAGTTTCGTACTTGTCTTCTCTCACGTTATTTTCTCCGTTCTGTTGCTGAGTCCAACATATTACAGATCATGGTTCCAACCAGTCACGATAACAATACCAGCAAATCTTTCTTCAGATCTGAAACTTCCAATGGTTTCTTGGATGATGTGGAAAGGAGAAGCAGCGTGTTTAGTGGGGTTCATAGCTTTCCTCATCCTCTGTTTTCTAGCCTTAACAAGTTTGCCTAGCATAGGAGAATCTTTGAATTGGCGAGAATGGCGATTTGTTCAGTCTAAACTAGGCTACACAGCGTTGATTTTATCCGTTGCTCATGCAATGATCATGGGAATACCAGGGTGGATTAAAGCCGGACCGTGGAAAATGTTTGGCTCTATTACATTTTTATCGATACAATTACCTCTGCTTGTGTTAGTTTTAAAACTTTTACTTACGCTGCCGTGTGTTTCCAAAAGACTTCGAAAAATTCGACGAGGCTGGGAAAGGAATACGACGAAGACTGCCCCAAGTTCTAAGGATTTAAGCAATGAGAAATACAGGGCGCTAACATCCGGTTGTGGTTGCAGTAATAACTCTCAAGTTACGAATTGTTGTGGTGCTCCAAACCATTCACCAGATTCAAAAACATTATTACCAATCTCTAATTGTGATTGCTCTGTTGTGTGAAGGAAATCTCAAGAATTATTAGATGAAATACAGTTGTTAGGAGCACAGGGACGCTAAACATAGTTAACAGGAAGTAGTTGAATACTCTTTTACAATAAAATAACGGTCGTAATAAATTTGATATACGAGCGTTGAATGGTGCCTGGTTCGTTATTATGCGTGCATAATAGCATCATTCATTTACATAACAAACACAGCAGTACTTACAAAAACAAAAAGGATATAGTAAACAAAATGGCTTATTATTGACAGTTAAAACGATTTAAAGTTAAGTTTCTACGCATTTCGCCCAAGTAAGTACGTCAAGCGCACGTGCTACTTTAGTTTTCTGACAATCGTTTGACAGACGAAAAAAGAACGTCACCGACAGTTAATATTTATATTAATATAATATTTTTGGTTCAGGTTGAAATGAAATATATTTTAAAAGGGCAGACACATTAATTGTAGCCGACTAAATATATCATTTGTATATAAATCATTCAATTAGCCCCTTCATTTAATGCAATTCATCAACTTCATTTTAATCATTGACATTGGAGATGGCTTCCACCACTGAAAGATATACCAAAGAAATGAAACTTCACTATTTATTAATAATATTATCAACATTCTGTATGGAACATCATTTCATATAGTATCGGCGCATGTGTCGCATTATATCACCCTCACGTGTAATCATATAATTCAAAAAGTCAGAATAAGGAAAACAGAAAGTTATGAATTTTGTGACCATTACCAAGGACGGATCTAGTGGAGGCGTACGTCCCCCCCCCCCCCTCCCCTATCTGGATCCAGGGATGCACTTTAGAACCGGATACGTTTCTCAGATCACTGGAAATGGCATTTCCGGGCTTCTAGTTTTCGAAATGTTCCGATGAAGACCCCCGGATCCCCGTTGTGCGCTTCTCAGCCGCTCGTGCGCCCATTCCCACTATCCATGGTCTCTGGACCCGGCCTTGATTACCGATATGTTGAATTAATGTAAATTATGTATAAGAGATTTAGTGGATGTGAAAATGTAGATATATTTAGGAATATGTTAATTGTATATAGAGTGTGACCCTATACAATGAAATTGTATAATCATACAAAGTTTGTATCGTCTACGTGTCTGTTTTGTGGTAGTATGGTAATTATTCTCTAATTGATGAATATAAAAAAATCCCTGTATGTAATCCATGTCCCACGTGCGAAAAAACATAGAGAAAAATAATGGTGTGTGGTTATTGTTATATATAATCGTTATGTTTTATGTAAATATATAATGGAATAATAATCTGTCATGTATAAAAACATAAATAAATTACTTTTCTTTACTTTGACATTTTTTCTCGTTTTTTTAAGGAATTGTTTTCAATGTGCCCACCATTTATGTTTCTACAATTTTAAACTTTAACCTTCGTTCACTGTCCTCTGATCGTACAATAATGAAAATAGATCTGTGTCCCAAATGACCACCATATTGAACATTTATTGTACTATTTTATTATGAAGGTCTAGCCTGTTTTACTTCTTTCATACAAACAAAGTCTAAATAAATGAAACGAAACGAAACGAAACGTGATTTTAACGTCCTACAGTTCTGCTCCGACTGGGCTATTGAAAACGGGCATACGTTATACAGTATGAAAATGAAATGAAATGGGGTTTAACGTCCTACTAATTTGCTCCGAACTGACTAATGAAGGGAGGCATACGCCAAACAGTGTTCTATGAGGGAGATTTTGCCCAGACAGCGACACAACGGCCTACTCTTATATCGAATTCCAATTGTCAAGGGATCTTTTACGTACACGCCATGTCTACACAGGACTTCGGTTTTTCGTCACATCCGAAGGACTAGACAGCTGTTCTTGTCAGGTCCTCCATCCTGCACCACTGATACGGGGAATCCACGTCGGAAAATCCCGATGAACTAGAAAATGGGAGTAACATAATCAGTGCCGGACTGGGGCCACCTGTCCACTAAGCTCTTTAAAAAAAGTGGGCCTAAGCCTATAAACAAAAAAGAAAAAAGAGAAAGAAAAAAGAAAAGAGGTTGGTAGTGCTCTTAGGTCATTCTGTTATCTAATTGTATCAGGAAATCAAAAATTTGCCTTCTTCTGCTTTGGTCTGAAATACTTGGAAAATGGGTTTGCGGTTGTCAATTTTCCAAATTTTTCTGGGAGAAGAAGCCACCCAGACCCCCCTCGGACGTTCGCGCGCCTTCGGCACGCTCGTGACGCGCCGTCGGCGCGTACTTGTGTGGGCCTTGGTCAATGACCTGACAGGTGGGCCTTCGGCCCACCAGTCCAGCACTGAACATAATAATACATTATGTTTCAGGGATGCAGTTCTGTGCGATGGGGGTCACTGAGCAGATGCATACTCTTACAAATGACTTAAGATATCCCAAAATTTCTTCTTGGACAGGATTCCGGGGCAATTCCGTGTCCTAACCACACAAACACCGCATTCATAAAATAAGGAAGTCTGCAGTACATCCAATACACAGCATTGTACCCATTCAACGCACATTAAATGGATGCGAAAATTGAGCACTGTTCTGGGTAGGTGGGTGCTGTGGGCAGTATTACATATTGCGCCGTTGTTAGGATTCCGAATAATAAGTGTGATAGATTATGTATTGGGTAGTTCGATCTGAACGTATACTTGTGAGACATTTTATTATTACGGTTACATTCACGTTCACCAGAAGCTGCTCTGGTAAACTTCTACAACACCTCTATCATTAAAGGGCCAATACCGATGTCCCAAGCTGTATTATGCGGTGTCTGGATAAAACTTTTATTTTATAAAATTAATGTGTAGATAAAATTTACCTTTCGTTATCAAGTACAGCACATGGGTCATTCATTGTATAGACCTCAAAAGGAACGGGAATCACTTATCAGATCACCTAGCGAAACAACTGACCGGAAATCTTAAAAGGGTTACGTGTCCGGATAAGCAGTTTTGGCGTTCATGTCCAAACGACTCAATATTTTGAGCTGAAATTTTGAGACAAGGTAAATACACCACTCCTCTATAGTTTGGCGCTTAAATTTCAAACGTAGTTGAACTTTTATTTTTGAGACCCTGTTCAAATCGGGATAGTCCCTCTATCATTAACGCCTTGACACATATAACATGTTAAATAATAAACTCCAAAAATAAAATCGAAACAAACAACCGTTATTCTGTTTAAACACCGTATTTAATATAAAATTACAACACACCTTTAACACCTGTCTAATGACGTAGGATTAATGGTACCAAACTACTGCAAGTCATTCTATGCATTAACATTATTTATATAACAGGTCTGCATGCCAGATACCAGAAATTGGAATCTTATACGTTCAAGCTCACACCTTTACACTACTAGCCATTTTTATACCAGGACATGGGCCCCAGCTTCTACCCATTTTCTTGTTCTGGTGGCGACACTCTTCGATGCGGCGATGTTTCAGCATCACAGCCAATCCGCAACAAGGCGTTTGAGAGAACTATTTATTTGGATTGACGAAATGTATACCTATAACCTTAATTTATCTTCATCCCCTATTTCAAATAGACTCTAAAGTAGTAAAGAACATAAATGACATTTCCATAAACCACTTCTTGCTTGCAGGTTTCTTAGGGATATATACAGAAATAGGCTTAAATACGCGATGGTTTTGCAGGTATGGATGGTCTAGTTTCAGACTGATTGGAGAGGTCAGTTCCATACCGAATATTCAGATTTTCTTTGTTATTTCAAAAGAAACGTTAAAGTAGTAAAACAATAAATACATAATCGACATTTATTATAATCTGCAAGTTATATTGAAATCGGTTTGTAATTGCGGTCTGTAGCCGTGCCACATGAAATGTGTGGTAACCTGATATCTCCGAAACTGCTAACCGGAAGTGGTCGAAATTTTGGCTACTCTGAGATATTATTATTGTTATCATATTCTGTAAGTTTCATGGATATCGGTTTATATATCCGGTCTGTAGCCGTGCCACATGAAATGTGTGGTAACCCCCATATCTCGGAAACCGCCAACCGGAAGTGGCCGAAAGTTTTGCCACTGAAGATGTTATCAATGTTATCATAATCTGTAAGTTTCATTAAAATCGGGTAACAATTGCGGTCTGTAGTCGTAAGGCTATTTTGAAATTCTTGCTTACCACATGTGGCAAATAGCCACTGCCTTTAAGGCTTGTTGTCTTAATAGGGTAAAAATAATTAACCATTTTTGCGACTAAATATTTAGGGTATTTAAATCATGGTTTAGAGATAATTCTATATCGTTTGCAACCTAAAGATGTATCATCAGCAAATAATCCTGCTATGTTTGTCAGTGTAACTTGGATGTCATTTATATAGACTAAGAAAAGGGAAAGGCCCCAAAACGGAACCCTGGGGAATTCCTGACATTAGAGTCGTTTCGTGTGATCTAACACCTCTGATGGTTAACGCCAGTTTCCAGTTTTCTGTTACTGATATAGTTTGATAACCATTTATGTATCAGGCCTCTGTGATATATGCTATCAAAGGTTTTAGAAATATCAAAGAAAACGTAGCAGTTACGACATCATATATTTCGAGAAATTGATGAATTGTTGGGAGATGGGGTTTAACGTCCACTCGACACAAACTAGGTCATTTCGGGACTAACATATGGTTCGATTTTATTTCAATAATTCGCTTGCGTGTAGGGGTCTTTAGCAGTGGGAGGAAACCGGGGACCCTGGGAAAACCAACGAGGTTGTACAGGCGACCCTACTCCTTGTCACGTACAACCGGGGAATCGAAAACCCAGTTGACTCAATGACAGACCTTATTACACAACGCTCACGTGCTAACCATTCGGCCACCCAACCCCCGGTGCAAGACGGTGGGCCTGACAAGGAAAGCTGTCTAGTATTTCGGATGGAACGAAAAACCGTCTTGCACCACTGACAAGGGGAAACTTTCTCGGCCAACACCGGGAGCGAACCCCCACCTACATTAATACATTACGTATAGGTTAATGTAAGTATATATTTACACATCGCTAAAGATTATGAAGTTAAAAAATCGCCTTCAAATCATTACATTAAAATAATACAGTGCGTGACTTAACCTCTCCCCCCCCCCCCAAATTCTTAAACCTAACCTTATTTACATCTCTGCGAAATATTGAGGTGGTCTTAAGCAATAGATCTAGCCCAGATGAAACTACCATAGTGTGGTTATGGCTAATTTTAAAGTGGGGTTAAAGGGAAATAATTATCATTAAAATCATACACTTTATTAGATTTTTTTGTCTATTTGAAACATTTACAGACTTTGGACGACACAAACGTTAATGTTATTGAAAGCACAAAATTATAGGAACACACAAGGCCGGTTGCTGCAGCCCAGCGGTCTCTGGTCATAAAGTTACGTAAGGATAGACGCTTTTAGTCTTTCCCAAAATAGACCTTCTACGTCACCGTTCCAAGTGATGTAAGTTGTAGTTTTTAACAGAGCATGTAATGATTTACTCATATTAACGGCCTCTATCTCTTCTAGAAATACTACAACTATTGACTCAATACTCATATCTAAAACCAAATTCTGGGCTAAACTCATTTCAAATTGGCACCACTGACGTCTAGCAAATTCATTTGACAAAATGATTAAGATTTTCCGACTGTTTTCCATGTGTTGAATAATATTATCAATGATTAGTTTTCCACCCAGAAAATCTCTTTCATGGATACATAGTTTGACGTGGGCATCCTCTTCTAAGTGATGAACAAGATTGTCAAATACCCAATTGCTGTTTTCAACACAGTACGACACAAAAACATCGTAAACAAATTGTTTTTCTGCAATATGCATTAACTGTTTTTGTCTGTATCTCCAAATGTAAATATGGTATTTAATATGCCATCTATATTTATACACAAATGATGCCGATACAATTACTAAAAGTAATACACATACTACAATTGTTACAACATTGTAGGTCTCTGAATTATTCAGACATATCTTCTCAGTAATATTAAGGCATCTGTAACCTTTCGGATAATCAACAAACTTATGTTTCTCGCTACGAATCCATTGAATAAACCAATATATGTCACAGTTACAAATAAACGGGTTATGGTCAAGACTAATCGTTTTAAGAGTACTTCTAAGTTGTACAGGAAACATTCCGCGTGTAACTGTTTCAATACTATTTTGTTTTATATTTATGTCTGATAACTCTATGTTGTTCTTAAAGAAATTCATTGGCCATGATTTAATTTTATTAAATTTGACATCCAAGTATTTTAATTTATGAAGTTTCTCTCCAATAACCTTTGGCAGGGAAAACAGTCTAGTGTCTGCCAAAACTAATGTCTCCAAAGACGTTAGTGGAGAAAGGGCTTTACTTAAAATATCAATATCGTCGCCGAGATAATTTCCCATTAATCTTAAAAGTTGTAGACAGACGCAACCATCAAATGCTTGTGGCGATAAGTTTGCAGATGTCAAGGTATTCCTAGAAAGACGTAATTCTTTTAAATGACTGTTGTTGAAAGCCCTTTCTTGTATTATGAAAGGTGGGCTTGGGTTTTTTTGTTCATACAGCGACAGCCATCTTAGAGACGGCAAGTAATGGAAGTTGTCCGTTTTAAGGATTCCAAGAGCGTTGAATGACAAATCTAAATAATCCAACTTCTTCATACAATTAATATGACCGGGAATAAAATTATCGATTTTATTGTTGTTGAGTTTCAAGTAAGTTAAATTAGGGTAAAAGACTCGAGGACCACAGAAGTTTGGTAAATCTCTCAAGCTGTTGTTACCAAGAGACAGTTTTTCAAGATATGGGTTGAAATCTAAGGTGACAGAAGATATTTGATTACCTTGCAAGTTAAGTATTTGTAATTTTTTGTTTTGTTTTAAAATGGAGTTAAATTTTGCTAAATTGTTCCAAGATAAATCAAGTCTATGTAGTGTACTAATATTTTGGAACGCATTTTCTTCAATCGTTTTAATACCATTAAACTTAAGAAAGAAGAGCTTTATGGCTGCATTGCTAACGTTTGACAATGTAGTCACATTTATATATGGTAGATAGTTTCTATCAAAACGAAGTTCAATATTTGTTACAGGTATTTCAGGAATGTATGTAAGATTTAACCCAACACAGAAAGTGTATAATGGTCTAAATCTGCACCCTTTTGATGAACCAGTATTTCTCGTATCGGTTGATGCTAAGAATAGAAGAGTACTTATAACAACTAGGATTATCATTGTCTTTTTTGTCAAAATTTCAATATGGCTCGTGGGTCTCTTTAAAAAGGTGTAGCCAAAATATGAACTCTGAAAAGAGAAAACATACAATTTAATTACACTAACAAATATTACCATTAACAGTAGTGCCTGCTCACAATTTCCTGAAAAGATCATACATAAAAGAATTGGGGAAATGAAATGAAATAGGGTTTAACCAGTGGCGTATGTTTTGGGGTGGGGGTGCTTAGCAAAAGTGAGACCGACTGATCCATAGGCAAATAATACAAGTATCACAGCCCCTAATACGATTTTTATATTTTGTATTTTTGAATCTAGAGTCCCTAAAATGCCATTTAATGGACTTTGGGTGAAGATTTTGCTGAATTCTGATAGTCAGAAAACACTTATAACATGAGTAAAATTGAATACTACACATGGGAATTCATGTTATTTATCAACAATTTTGTCATTGTTTGTTTACCTCATTAATTCACTTAGTCGCCGATGCATAATTTTGAGACACACTGAACTTATTTTTAAACCGATTATTTTTCTTCCTGAGCCCCCCCCACCCCCTTTTCACCCCCTTTTCACCCCAGGTTTTAATGTCTTACTGTTCTGCAAGAGAATCGTGGGCCTAGAAATAATGCTTTTAGATATTTTGAACCTTCTGTAGGTCAAATCATGAATCTCGAAGAGAGAGAACATATAATTTAAGTACACTAACAAACATAACACCTTTGACAGTTGTGTGAACAATTCCCCGATAAGATCATACTTAAAAGAAATGAAAAGAGGTTTAACGTCTTACTGTTCTGCAAGAGAATCATATGCCTAGTTATCATGGTTTTAGTTACACCTGACAAAATGTTGATGAACCAGTACCTGATATTTTGATCCTGGTGTCGGACAGGTGCTTTATATCTGTGACAGCTGCCTTATGTCTGCGACCATACGGCGACCATAAATGCACAAGGTCGCCGGCAAACGTAAACACAACCGGAGACAATGTCCCAAAAAATTACAAATTTGAAAAAAGTCGCTTCCTCATAGCTTTCCAGGTCAGATCGCAAAACCTTGGCGTCTGTTTTGAACATCCTCAAAACGCATAGAACTATCTGAAGATCTGGGGTTTATCAGTTTTATCTCGATTGGCGAAAAGTTTCCAGACTGATTGAAAATATAAGCTTGTCCAGATAGCCATTAAAGCAGTTTGGCGCCCATAATATTTAGTATTTTGAGCTGAATCTGTCAAACAAACTCTATAATATATTTATAAATTAGAGTTGCATCCCAGTACGACCGTGCATCAGTGGATATCTCATTACAATTAGAAAGAAAAATCACGGTGAACAATATTGAAGGTAAGGATTCCAAGACAGCCTTAGAATAGAGGTGGTGGTGTTTTCATATTGCAGCTAAGTAGGGACGAACAGGAACGACGAGAGGATATGGTCCAATCAGAGTCCGTTACTAAAGGAAGTATATTTAGTATGAAATGGAATGATGTTTATATCACACACATTTAAGGTTTATTCGTATGTGTACGCTTTCAAAATATATATTTGATAACTAGTGCCGGGGAACTAATCTTAAATCGATAAAATAATGAATTCCTACCTGTACATTGACGAAATTAAAAGAAGTTTTGCGATTTAGCTCTCTTTTCTTGTCTTTGCACTGTCACAATATTTTCATCCGTTCTAATATCACTACCGCCTAGAAGTGGATAATAATAACGAAGTACAAATGTTTCATATATCATGTGTCATCATTAAGGCGACATTTCAATTTAATGGGAACGGAAATAATATTACCCAAGGAAGCTTTATTATCAACTAGCGGATAATTCATAATCCTCAGAAACAATCACATGCTCTAACCCTGTTTACATTTCGTGACCATATGACGAACTCTGCAGGTAACCTTAATATTTAAAAAAAAATGTCAATGAAATTAAATGGATTTTAATGGCCCTCTTTTCTGCACCAACCGGGGTAATGAAAAAAGGCCGAATCCATGAGAATTTATTTGTCTACTCTTTAAGGCCCGGTCCCACTGCACTTACGGATGCAAAGAGGATGTAAAATGGGAAAAAAACGTGCCCCCCGTTTGAAAACGCCATGCATCCATTGTGTACTCATTGCATACGTGTTTCATACGCTCTATCGAGCATCCGTTCACTTTGATTTCATCCGAGCAAAAAGTTTTAAGCTGCACGAAACTTTTATAACGGATGAACTTTCTGCCGTGTACGATGTAAATGCGCGACATATACGAGCACCAAACGTTCCATGTCCGTTATCATCCGTTAAACGTCCACTGTATCCTCTCTGCATCCTCTGGGCATCCTCGCAAATCACATCCGCTCCAGCTGAAAACGGAAAGAGGGAGGAAAGATAAGGTACATTGAACGTCTATACATCGTTAGTAGCACGGAAATAGAAAGGATGTAAGCGTATGCATCATGTATATAAAGTTTTCAAAACGGACAAAGCGTTTGTATCTGGGATGTATTTGGTATATTGAAGGATGTCTGGAGTTTGCATAACCCCTTCGGAGCTGTCTTCCACTTCTATTCGCTTTCATCCGCTAGGCTTCCGATGAACATCCATTTAACATCCCCGCTACATACTTCCCACGTTCATTCTTTTCCGTTCTGTTTTCGCAAATTTTCGTCAATTTTGTCCATTTCTGGAGCGGATGAAAACGGATGGAGCCACCCCCGAAAGTTTGCTCGTCCGCTGTGTCCTTTTTGCATACGTTTTGTGCCCATCGGCCACTGGGACCGGGCCTTTATCTAATTGGTTTAAACATATTTTATTACCATAAAGTAAAAGGATTGGACAAATGTTATATAAACTTACAAACACATCCTTTACTTTATAAGTACTTGGATTTAGCCAAGATAACAAAAGGTGGAAAGTAAAGTGTATTTAGACGGTGCTGAGGAATAAGTCTTAACATTGACGAGGATGATTCAAAGAAAAATATCTGAGAATTATTCTAGTGGGTGCAAAAATCTTGAAATTTTAACCCCATTTGCAACTACCTTACACGGCAAAAATATCGAAAAGTTGCAGGAACTGTTGTTGCGAAGTTATTTCAAGCTTAAAGGTATTTCCAAATAGTAATTTAGGATAAGGACCACTCTAAAACAACTGGCGAATGTTTGTTTAAATCTCACAAAAATCTATGGTATTGTTCTTTAAATGGCATTTAGTAACAACAAAACACACACTTATGGAAAGTCATTTAAATAGACTAAGAAAAGGAAAGGCCCCAAAACGGAACTCTGTGGAATTCCTGATATTAGACTCGTTTCGTGTGATCTAACACCTTTGATATTTACCGCCTTTTTTCTGTTACTGATATAGCTTTATAATCATTCAAGATACGGGTCATCAATACCGTAGTTTTTTAGTTTATGTATCAGGCCTCTGTGATGAACGCGATCAAAGGTTTTAGAAATATCAAAGAAAACGTAGCAGTACAATCTATGGTCCTGAAACGCAGTTACGACATCATATATTTCAAGAAGTTGATAAACTGTTGGGAGATGGGGTTTAACGTCCAATCAACACAAACTAGGTCATTCCGGGACTAACATGATTTAATTTTATTTCAATAATTCGCTTGCGCGTAGGGGTCTTTAGCAGTGGGAGAAAACCGGAGGACCCGGAGAAAACCCACGAGGTTGGACAGGCGACCCTAATCCTTGTCACGTACAACCGGGGATTCGAAACCACGCCAGTTGACTCAATGACAGGCCTTCTGATATAGCGCTAACCATTCGGTCACCCCCCCCCCCCAATAATGCAGTAGAAAACAGTTGGCGACCTTTATTTAACGTCCGTATCTATCGCAGGTAAACAACCTTTACAGAAACCCAGCCCTTAATATATTGATATTATTAGACACGTCGTGCAAAGAGTGGAGCATAGAGGTGACGAACCCATGCATCCATTTTAGAGGGGCGTGCTACCAGCTACCAAAGAGTAAAATTAAATTAAGTTTCTTTGTAACTTGAGTCCATGGGATGTGGGGGGGGGGGGGTACAATCGCTGAGCTTGCCTAGGGCATCACTAAACCTCTTAACGCCACTGATCCCAGCAATGAATTTGATTTATTACACAATCTAACGTGAATGAATGAATTGAATGTCAAATATTTTAAAGATACATTATGGGAGATTTTAATAGAGAGTTGGCCATTTTTGCTATAACAGTTCAAAAAAAGATGATGAAAGAAAAATATATTGAAAATTTCAGTCAAATTACTTTATTCTGAACAAAGTTATCACCATTGTAATTTTTGACTAGAGAATAGCCGATCGTTTGATTGACAGGCGTTAATTCCACCTACATAATCTCGATTATCAAGTAACGTTTTCATTGGCTGTGGTACCGTTAGCTTATTCGGTTTGAGACGGGGTTGCAATTCAATTCGTATCACATTTATCTTTACTACATATTAAAAATAAGAATTTTAATATATAGATATGAAGCGAAAATTTGAAAGGAAGGACCAAATCAATGAGGCATAATTATAGCCGACTTCTTGTTAGCCTGCGGGTACTCTTGTATGTAACTGGTAGGCAGGCCTACGTAACTCCCGAAACAGACACATTGAAATAGGAAACATTGATCCAATGGGATTGCAATTCAACTGGGGTGATGTTAGCTGGGATGTTTATCAATTTCCATAATTTTTCTGTAAACGCAAGTGACAAAAGAGCGTATAATACCGACATCCAAACTCTCATTTTAACCACAACTAAACATAATATCAAGGCCGTATATATCGAACTTTCAATCAAATTGACTAACATGCGGCCTCCGCTTACGACGCCATTTAAAAATTTAATCAATCAATGAAATCCTGTTTAAATCCAAGCCATCCGTGGGTCTACAGAGTTGATTTTGTGTCTGTTGTGTAAATAAAGATCTAATTTATAATTTCTAAGACATCTGAAGCCCAAATAAAGACTTGCAATAATCAGATTTAGCTCTTGCATAATGTATGTTTAAGGGTGTATAGCCCTATTCTTTGGAATTGTACAATGGCCGAAACTTGCTCTAAAAGCACATGTTAAAATGTAATATTAGTGTATATAATGATTTACATTCAGATTAATTAGAACAGAATTGGCCACATTGCTTGCAGCTTCATTAGGCCTGTATCTATATTTAGTATGAAATTGAATGATGTTTATTTCACACACATGATGTTTATTCGTATATTTAGTGCTAGCAAAGTAATCTTAAATTGATAAAATACTTAATTCCTACCTGGACATTGACGAAAACAAATGTAGTTTTGCGATTTAGTTCCCCCTTAAATTCTCTTGCCTTCTCACTATCATAATATTTTAGAATACTTAGTTTAATATGACCTGCGTTATCATTAAGACAGGATTTCCATTTAATAATAACGGAAATTACACTAGGATGTCTAATTACCAACAAGTCGACAAAATAAATAGATTACACTTACTAGTTATTTGGACATTTATCTTTCTGAAAAGAACTTTCTTGGCCAATGCAGGGATCGAACACCCGACCTCCAGGCTAGCGAGTCAGCGTCTTTCCCACTTAGCCACATGATCCCCCACTCAATTATAATCAAAGTTTTTGAGCTAGACCAATCAAAATGCTTAAAGCTCTGCTTACCCTGAGCCGAAAAAGTTCATTATCGTACTTAGTCAAGGTATTGATATAATGAAACTATACACAAAGTTTCATCACTCTCGCTTAATAGTCTCAGTGCGGCGGGGGGGGGGGGGGTGTCCATCAAATGGGCACTAAACCAGACACAACTTTTCTGGAGTCCAACACTGAAGCTATTGAATTGTTTTTCAGATAACTAGTATCATTATGTATAACAATTGTTGTGAAAATAAATCGGAGAGATTTCGATTTGACAGTTTTTACGTATTTTTGAAACAGGTTTCAAAGTGTATTGGTTCTGTTATGCAAGATCATTTTCGATGTTCCAAAGTAAAAGTTCGGTACTAAGACACCCTAAAGATAAATTTTAAATGTTCCTATTATTAATTAGAACAGGTTTCGCTTTAGTTTTTATATTTTACGTTGACATTTTATGGATTTAAATCTCCCTAGTGCAAAAACGGTAAATTTCACCTTTCGACCTCCAGGGTCACTAAGATCTAAGGTGAATTTAGCAAGTTTACATTTTTATTGAAAGTGTGACTACTTTCGATCATTTTCAGCTTCTTATCATAATACAAGAATGACTACGGATTCATTTTCATTTCAAATGAACTCATTTGACCTTTGACCCCGAATATCTCGAAAACGCCCCAACGGCGGACTGATTACCTCTCGGCATCGTATTCTACGCAAACTTTTACTCTAGAAAAGTTGTGTCTGGTTTTGTGCCCATTTGATGGACCCCCCCCCCCCCCCGCTGAGCCTCCGGTCTATAATTAGAACCACAGTTATCGTGCCCCAAATCATCAACCAATCAAATTGCTTATCTCTGTTTAGCCTCAGCAGAATATGCTCATGAAGGCATTCACCTATTAAAAACCTATGGTCCGACAAAAAAAAACCCCAATCAACGTTGACATTTTTCTGAGTAGATCCTCATGCTATGGGACGCAATTAACTGAAGGTAGTCATTTTGCGATAATATTCCAATTCATATTTGGTTTTCAACTTTTGTTATCGACGTATCAACTGTGATTTGGCAATTTATTTCTTTTGACAGGGTCGTGACTTTATTTCAGATTTTTTTCCAAGATGGTGACCATTTTTGGTCGGGGAAAATGGGACGATGTGAAAATTTTGATTAAATATTAATATTTCGTGTCGCTATATATGTTGTTGGAATAGCAGATTACATTTCTGGCATTTACAACATTATAAAATGATCACATTTTCACATACTTAGCATATTTCCGGGATGGCTGTCATTTTTAGTAGGAAACGGGACGATGTGCAGATATTGATTAAGTAGTATTGTTTGGTGTCGATATATATATTTTTAGGGGCACAGATTCCATTTCTTACATTTACAACCTGCGCCGTCGTTAGGATTCCGAATAAACCGACACCCATAGTAATAGTGATAGATCACAGGCACTTGAAGGGATTAAAATAAAACTTCTTACTACTGCTTGACTAAATATTATAGTTTATAAACGGTATTTCAGCCGCCATCTTTGTTTACACGTCTCCAAGACATTTTGCCTGCTATCACCTCACAATACTCACTAATTCTAACACTTCAAGTCGTTTTTATTGCCAACGAGACCTTATTTGATCATTATGCAGCTTCCGATGTAATTAAATTGGTCATTTCATAGCGTTATTAATTACAAATCAAACTTGAAGCGCTATCACTGGGCGAAAAGCAACTTCAAGAGACCGGAAATAACACGAAATCAGGTCAAAGGAATTCCCTTTTGTTTTTATTAGTAAGTCTAGATCATCCAGTCACCTCCTTTATTAACATAATCCATTATACGAGATTTTCTTAGGGACTGGGTGATCTAGACAGCACCAAAACAAACCCACGTGTGTTTCAACTCCGGTGAAAATGAAAAAATGTCCCTGGCATAGGCATAACAAACAAAAGAATGGACTGCAAGTGGAAGTCTATACCAGTGTATGGTAACAGTATTCAGAAATGAAAAAGCTGTTCTAAGAAATAATATGAGTTGCTATCTGATAAGGGTGGGAAGGGGGGGGGGACTTTATTTCGGGTACCTTCGTTTTGCAGACTAAAAGGCAAAATATTTTTTTTCTCCAAAAATATATGTTAATTTTTTATCGCTTTATCTGCTCCACCACTGCTCATGTGGCTTTGCAAGGAACAGAAATAAAATTGTTTAATTATAGATATTTCCTTTATTAGGTATATATAATATATACCTATGTAGGAGTAGTTAGAAGATTCCTAAGAAGCATGTTACATACCAATGACAATATTCAGCTGTCATTCTGACATTCATAATTCGAGGTCAGCTCTGACAGTCAATTTTATTTTTAGTAACACACCTTGACCAATCAAAAATAAGGGCTTCCCCAACGCGACGTCATTGACTGATTTCGTGTTATTTCCGGTCTCTTGAAGTTGCTTGTCGCCAAGTGATAGCGCTTCAAGTTTGATTTGTAATTAATAACGCTGTGAAATGACCAATTTAATTACATCGGAAGCTGCATAATGATCAAATAAAGTCTCGTTGGCAATAAAAACGACGGGAAGTGTTAGAACTAGTGAGTATTGTGAGATGATAAACAAAGATGGCGGCTGAAATACCTTTTATATACTATAATATATAGTCAAGTAGTAGTAAGAAGTTTTATTTTAATCTCTTCAAGTGACTGTGTGATAGATCGATTATGTACTGTGTTCTTCGTTCTGAACGTATACTGAGGAGACATTTTATTATTACCGCTACATTCAAGTTCGTCAGACGCTGCTCTGGTAAACTTCTACAATACCTCTATCATTAACGCCTTGACACATATAACATGTCAAAAAATAAACGCCAAAAATAAAATCGTTAACAAACAACCGTTATTCTGTTTAAACAACGTATTTAATATAAAATTACAACACACCTTTAACACCAGTATATGGGCAGGGGCGTAAATGTGGGGAGGGGGGCAGGAAGAAAAATAGTCGGTCGCAAAATTAAGAGCAGTCGGTATCAAAATAAGTGCTCACTGCATACGCCACGCTACTCACGCAAAACTTTAGTATTAAATAACCTTGTCAACTTATCGTGTTTGAAAAAAATGTTGTGTTTCATTCTTATTCTGTTGTGAGTATGTTGGTATATGAACAAAATTTCCCCCAGGGAGAAAAATAGTCGGTCTCAAAATAAGTGCAATCACTGCAGTCGGTCTCAAAATTATGCATCGGCGACTCAATAAATTAATGAGGTAAACAAACAATGCCAGAATAGATCCCAAATACTATGTATTTGCGTGAATCCGTGAGCCTAAATTGCATACGTCACACAAAGCTATAGTATAAAATAACCATGTCTGCTTGTCATGTTTGAAAAAATGTTTGTCACTCTTATTCTGTTGTGAGTATGTTGTTCTATGAAATGTTTCTCCCCGATGGCAAAAAAATAGTCGGTCCCAAAAAAAGTACTCACCGCAGTCGGTCTCAGACTAAATGAATTAATGAGGTAAACAACCATTTACAAAACCGGCGAAATTGACAGATAGGCCACAAGATTCAGTCTCATTTCTTATCCTCTCGTTAGCGAGAATTTGGTTCCATTTGCCAAGACAATGACTAAAATTAAAAGCTCGGTTACATGTCTCAGCACTATCATATTCACGGTTATAGTGAACTGCCCAGTTATACTGGTGTGTGGGTCGTGGGGCGTCAGACTATACAAATGTTATGTCAACTCTTTCAAAGCAGGCGGAATTGACAGGGGCAGATCTCGAGATTCTGTCCCATTGGCTCCCATTTCTGGTCCTCTCGTCCATAAGACTTTCTCTCAGCAATGACCTAAAGTGCTAGGATATTGAATCAATTTTTCCAAAATTTTCTCAGGTTGCTCAGTGTTATAGGCACAATCATCAATATGGCATAAACTTTATGTCAACTTAAATAAAACTGCTTTCCGGCGAGACAACGATCGGCGAACAACTATATAATTATACAATACTGTCTATGTTCTACTAGGACGCTTAATGTTATAGCCAATATTTTGTTGACATTCATTGTGGGCTGGGATTGTGGATGGCGCCCTAGATATGGAACCACCCCCACCCCACCCCTTATTCCCCTGCACATGGCCCCTAGAAAACTCGCACATGTGGTGCGCGACTCCTGACTGCGTCACTCGTCGTACTTGGGGTATGTGCATCAGTCGGTCGCATTTTGGCTAAACACCCCCCCCCCCCCCAAACAAAATCGTTATGTACGCCCCTGGATATGGGTCCGGCTTCTACTCATCTTGTTGACACTCTTCGAAAAAAGTCGGCTTCAAAGCCTAGCTTTGCGACAAACTTTCATCAGCATCCCAAATCAATTTTTGAGCCAAGCGAAGGAGTTGAACTTGATTCAACGTCTTTGCTTCGCTCAACACAGCGCAGCCAGTCAGCAACAATGCGTCAGGGTGAACTATAAAATGGATTTTTTAGAAAGCGATATGTAATTCAGGATGTCTGGATGGGATTGGCTAAAAGGCTCAGCCTATGTAAAATCCATCTTCCTAAATACTATTTAAACATAATATTAATACGTAAAGCCAAAGGGGTGTATATACATAGTTAAAAAGTCATTTCAATATAATAATAGGGATAAAGCTGTGATTTATAGCCTTAATTTTCCTTCATCCCTAATTCCATGTAGACACTAAAGTAGTAAAGACATAAATGATATTTCCTTGAACCACTTCTTGCTTGCAGGTTGCTT